ATTATTGTTATTATTCTTCTTATTATTATTGTTATTGTTACTACTATTATTACTATTATTATTATTATTGTTAATGTTGTTATTATCATTACTGAGTAGTTATTTGCTATCGCGACTATTCGTATCCTATTATTTTATCTCCTATAAATTTCATGGCATGGAGGCAGCCTTTTTCGCCCTGGGCAGCCCTGAGCCAGGCCACAGACTCCGCAGCACGCGCTGGAAGGCTTGAGTCGCTTCTGCCACTTGGAGATCTTGGCTCTGCTCTGTCCGCGGGTTTAGGATTTAGGGCTTAATTTAGGGTTTAGGAAGTTTAGGGTTTATAGGGTTTAGGGTTTAGGGTTCAGGGTTTAGGGGTCTTCAAGGGATCCAGGGTTCTGAGACCTGAGGTGGCAGACCTGGTACTTTCACGAAGACGAGGCCCTCTTTTGAAAGCTCTCGGTTCCCCCTTTGCTCCCAGCTGTGACGAGGCCGCACGGCAGCTCCTCAGGGACGGCTCGGACCTCCTTGCAGAGGGCGACCTTGATGAAGCCAAGAAGCGCTTCTGGGCTACTTCTGGCTTCAACGATTTTTCACGCCGGCTCCGTGAATACCCCCCTCATGCTGGCCATCGACTATTTTGTTGTTCTATCCTAGGTTTCTTGCATGCTGCTATCCTGGAGCCTGGATGGGCAGAACCTTGGAGGGATAAGAGTCAGTGTGGGAGCTCGAGGCGCAGCCTGTGTAGGGTATGACAGCACGAGTGCCCTTTGTTTGGCCAGAGAAGGAAGCCTGGAATCGTCTTGCAACGGACGCTTGGCAATGCGTCGTCAGAAGAATCAAGTTTTCTCACTCTTTGTAGCTGGGTGCTGCTGGCCAGCTTTGGTACAGGAGGGCAGCAGTTGCATGCCTTCCGGTCGTTTGCTGCTGAAGAGGTGAATTATTTGCTGGGGTTCTACGATGAGTCTCTTGCTGAGATTGACAAGGCAAGGCCGAGAAAAGCCTGCTTCGGTTGGGCTCCGTATCTTCCTTCAAGCAGCGAAGCTGACTCTGAGACGCTGGAGATCGTGCCCCGTCATTTTGGCGCCTTATCAGGCCGAGGCACGGACCATGGGAAAAAAGATGCCATCTTAAGAGGTAGTAGCGACCCCCAGAAATTTCGGCGCTCTGTGCGAGGCCTTGTCATGCTGAAGCTTGAGAGATATCGCGAAGCCGTGGAGGTGCCTCTCTGAGCCCCTGGGCCAAGTCGAAATTCAGTCGCTCAGTCGCCTGAGGCCTTCGAGGACACGCAGGCCCGCCGCCTTATCTGCCTTTCTCTCTTCAGCACACTAGGCATACAACCACGCTGGCGCATGTCTCAGTCTGCACCCCAAGGGGCATAGCGCCTCCAGGAGCGTATTCAATCTTTGCTGCAGGAGGTCTGCCCCACTAGCAGATCTGCAACTTCAAACAAGGCCTTTGCCGAGGCCCTGCAGGCGGCGGCAAAAGGCTGCAGGCGGCGGCTCCGTCACTGAAGGTCAAGCTTGCTGTGCAGGAGAAATCGCTTCGGCCCGGAGTGTGACGGGTCTGGAGCCGGAAGGCGTCTCACCTTCGCAAGGCCGCGGGAGAGGCGATCCCTGTTGGAGCTTGGACATTGGGCCTTGCGTTTGGGTTTCCGGTATGCCTTCTTTTCCAACTGGCATGACCGACAAATCCATCATGCCATCCTGTACATAGCACCAGAGCTCCTTGCATAATTTGTAAGGTTCGGCAGCTAGGGCGAGCGCGGGTGGTTCGTCCACTAGTCCCACCGAGGATGTGCTGCTGCCCCTGTTGTCTTCCACGTTCGAACATGTTCAATCCAGGACTTAGGAAGAGCTGGGAACAAGGCCGAACGTTAAAAACTAGTGGCAAGACTTGCATGCAGAAGTACGTGCAATACTAGCTCTCAGACGCTTTGCAGTCGCGATTTTCTTCTTCGCTTGAGTGATCTTGAGGAATATTACCTTCGCCTCCGCGGGAGACTGGAGGCGGCAGCGGGCCTCTCGACTCCAATCGAATGGGGTCGCCGTTGCCTGCTGATTCTCATGTTTTCGGACTCGTTCTCGTTCTCATTCTTGGAGGAGCTAGCCTGCGCGGAAGCAGTGTATGACCCAAGGGTGTGTTCTCAGGAGGCCAGCCCGCGGGCACGCACGTCGACATTCACTTCCAGGGCATTTGGGCGAAGCACTTCTCGGCCCTCCAACCGAATGCATGCTTCTCAGTCACCTATGCCCGTTTCAAGTCTGGTTGTTGTTTTGCCAGCATTGTCAGCTTTTGGGAGCTCGCTGCCCTTCAAAATGTGACCACCATGCAACTTGAGGATTTGTTCTTTGTGCAGAACTCCTTTCAAGCTCCGCTGGCTGACGGAGGGGGACCCATATGGATGGTTACCACAGGTGGCGTGTGGACCCCGGTTGTCCTTTCGATCTGTGACTAATCAAGTGGACAATTTCTACAGTCATCAGCACCTGCGTGCACGTGTCTTACCCCTACCATGATCGAAGATGTTGTCATGTAATATGTCCATACCACAGCGTACATTGGTTCTGTGCCCATGCTACCAGTAAATCATTTTTCAACGTCTCTAATCTAATCTGCCTCTAGATTCGTTCCCGCTGGAAACCCTTAACTCGAACTCCCTGTGCAATCAGTAAAGGTAAGCATCTGCGCTGGATGATCAAGAGCAGAGCTGATTGCCATGGCTTCCCGAATCGCACGCACTTCCGCAGCTGGCGTCGCGACTTGGAGTCTCTGTCGCCTACTGACTCCGCGTCGCCGAGAGCCGTGTTGTTGTGAGCCTCTGCCCAGCACGCCGACATGTCAGAAGCGCCCGCTGCGAGTCATGTCTCAGAATGTTTGGAATTCCTTCTTCGCAGGGGGTCCCGAGAGAAAAGCCAGGCTGATGGCTTTCAGAGAAGAGTTGCAGCGACTCTGCGTTGACGTCGTCATCGTGCAGGAGATGTTCGTTTTCGGTTTTGGACCGTTTTGCCTACAAGGCGATGCAGAGGACGCCGGTCAGCTGTTGTTGCAGCTAGGCTTCGTGCATCAAACCTCTCCGACAGCGACGCGGCCATTTCTTGGACAAAGTTCTGGCCTTGTCGTATACTCGAAATATCCAATCAAGAAGGAGAAGCATGAAACGTTCGCATCTCGTCGCTCTGTCACAGCTAAAGGTTGGCTGGAAGTGGTGATCGATTTAGGATCACCCGACGGCGCCGAGGTGCAGCAGTTGTTTCCGTTGTTTCGTGCCTTTGGCCCTGCCTTTCTGGGGGGTTCATGCAGCTTTCAGCTCTCACCCCATCTCCGAAAACCCGTAATGCCCAAATCCAAATCTCCAAACCCCTCATCGGCTTTATTGTACCCGCGTACCAACATAGCATCCTTGCAGTACAATTACAATACCCTTGTAGTAACCTTTCCCTTAAAGTGCCCTGATAGTACCATTATAGCAGGCGCGAGAGCTGCTCCTCTTCAACACTCACCTGGAGCATTCGCACCATCCTCGTTGGGTGCGCGTCCGGCAAGACCAGTGCAGACAGCTTACGCAGCGCGCCAGAGAGGTGCCACCCAGCCGCATTGCAACTCCTGGCAACAGGGGTCTTTACAAGAAGTGAGTCTGCAACAAGTGTTCTCATGACTTCGGGTGTAGATTTTGGATGCTCTTGCGTCCTCTTCGTCATTGCGATTCTTGCTAGTGTCCAACCGCCTCCTGCGACTCCAAGCAATGCTTGGAGCCAGCAGCAATAGTTGTAGTTGCCGCAGAAGTAGGACCCGAAGCAGCAGCATCCGTCGTCTTCGTCGCAGTCGCAGTCGTCGTAGTAGCCAAAGTCTAGTAGTCGCAGTAGTAGTAGTAGTAGTAGTAGTAGTAGTAGTAGTAAGTAGTAAGTAGTAGTAGGTAGTAGTAGGTAGTAGTAGGTAGTAGTAGTAGTAGTAGTAGTAGTCGTCGTCGTCGTAGCAACAGCAGCATAATAGTAATAGGTATCAGTAGCGGTGCTGGTGATGTAATGGTCAAACTGTCGCAG